CTGACAGTGGGTCTCAAGTCCATTCTAGAAGGGCCTCATTGGCCAGAAGGTAAAGAAGCACTGGGCTCCAGAGCCATTCAAGGATTCTCCTGGGCCTACGTCCTGTAGCTGAAACTCAGGAACTCGAGAGAAAAATTCTGAGAAGCAGGACACAGTGACCAAGAGAGGAACCACTACTGGCCAGGACCACATGTCCTCCTTCCCAACCTGCACCCAGGTCCTATCCACACAAAAGGGCCATTCAGACAGGACTACAACCATGGAGGATCCTCCTTATTGGCAGCCAAAGGCTTCTGGATGTCAAAGCCTCTCCAAGGCTGGGGAGAGAGAATCATCAACAACCCAGGCCTAAGCTACACAAGAGTCCTCCTCTCCCTTACCCCAGAGTGCGAGGCAAATGGTTGGGGGCACAGCTCAGTCAGTAGAGCATCTGCCATTCGAGCATGGTGGCCTGAGTTCAATCCCCTGGACACGTATTTTTTAAAGCCAGGTGGGATGACACGCACTTGTAATACCAACACCGGGGAGGCAGAGACAGGAGGATCCCTGGAGCTCACTGATCATTCAGCCTAGTAGGCTGCAGGCCAATGAGAGACCCTATCTCAAGAACAAAACAAAAAGTAGATAGTGCCTGAAGAACAACACTAACGACTGTCCGCTGACCTAGACACACATACCCACTTCAAATGCAAGGCCACAGCTGGCTGGATGAAGTCTCTTAAAAAACTGGGCCAAACTGACACTTTGAAACACAGACGAGTATAGTAGGGGCCAGAAGCCTGGTGCTCAGTACTGCACTCTGTGCTTTCTGAGCCTGGGTATTAGCATCAATGAAAGGGAAGCAAATGTCACTGTATAATTAGAACCATGGGCTGCAGATGGCACGACATACCTCCCAGGACATGCAACAAAAGACGAACTACCAAGACCAGCTACCAAGACGAGCAAGGGTCTCAGCAAAGCAGCCACATTGAAGGTGAATGCACTCCAGTTGGTTGGTTGGTTGGTTGGTTGGTTGGTTGGTTGGTTGGTTGGTTGGTTCATTGGTTCGTTGGTTTCTGGTTTTCAAGCAGTCTCACTACACAGACCAGCCTGGTCTCAAACTCATGATTCTCCTGCCTCAGAGCTCTAAGAACTGGGATGACAACCAATGCTTGGCAGATGAATGTTTGAACCAGTAGTCTCTCCAGCCATGTGAAGCAGGACTAGCAAAAAGGCCTCAGCCACAGCCTAACCATGAGATGGAACCAACATACAGGAAGACTGAGGAACTCTGAGCCTACAAATGCCTTCGACATGTCCAACCTAAGAAAATGTGGACCTCGGAGAGGAAGGTGCTATTCTCTGAGAGGGAGTTGGAATTCTCAATAGAAAAAGTAAAACTGGGCTGGTGAGATGACCCAGCACTGTCTACCAAGCCTGAGTTCGATCCCTGGAATGCATATTGGCAGAAAGGAACCAGCCCTCTCAAGCTGTCCTCTGACTTCCACGTGTGTGCCACAGTATGGGTCTGATAGCCCAAAGTCTGTTGTCTCTCAGACAGCCTTCATCCCCATCCAAGTGAGCCAGCCCTGGACAACTGTTGTCACACCCCTAGAAATTCATCCTAAGGTGACAGTGCCAAACACAGAGGTGGGCATGCAAAGACATTCCCGGATACGTAGTTTATGAGAGTCCAAAACTGTCTTCCAGTAGGAAATTAAGAGCAATGACATCCACACAGAGGAGGGCTGGTCCTCTGACTGTTCCTCAGAGTCATAGGGACTTAGACAAGAGATGCCTGAACCTCACCGTGAGCCAGCCCACCTCTGCAAGCCGAACCTCAGCTCTCTGGGAAGGCACCTGGTGTCTCTTAAGAGTGTCCACTGAATGTGGCACACCACCCAGGTGGAGAGCTGCTGACATGAATCTCGCAGTCAGCTGAGGCTTCGGAACTCTTAGTGACATGTTGATAAATAAAAAAAAGCAGGTTACAACAAAACGATGTGTAGAACGTGATTCCATTTCTGTACAAAAGGGGAAAAAAAGTGTTTCTCCACAGCTAGGGGTGTGACTGCATTCCTAGATCCCTGGAAGAAAGCCTGAGAGATGGCCTGCACCCAAACGTTCATCTACGGACCTCGCCATGCTGAATGCGTATTTTGACCTTAAGTATAATTTCTTTTTCAAATGTACATATTGTGATGCACTTATAATTAGAAAAATCGGGTTTTTAAATTTTTATTCCTAAAGCAGTGTTTTAAATGTCTGGGTCCCTGCCCTGCGCTGTGCTCCCTACCTTCCACACTGGAGTCACCCTCACTGGTCTCCGGGGTTCTGGATGGGAGCAGGCCTTCTCAGCTATGGGGTACTCCGTACTCCCTCCTCTTAAGCAGACACCATACTGGGTCTGGGATGGCAAGCCCCAGTCTGCTAGGATGGACTGATGTCTCAGCAGGTTACAATAGTGGGGGTGCTGGAAGCCCCTCACAGGACCCCTCCGTATCACAGGACCACCATGGCAGTGAATTTCTAGTAGAAGTCGGAGCATAGAGCAACAGGCCATGGGAAGGAAGAAAACAGAGCCCTTGGTTGAGGAAGACGTGCAGGCAATTCTTCTCTTGCCCCAGATATCTGCCAGGGGGGAACAGCACACTGGGGTTCCAGGAGGATTAATAGGAACAGAGGCCATGTAAGATCTTATTTGGCACAACTATACTCCTTAGTTGCAATTTACCTGCTACTTTGTTAAATTGCCCTCCTATTTTCTTCCCTTTTTTCCCCCTTTGCTGAGCAAATTTGATATATTAATTAGGTGTTTTAATCTAAAAAAAAAAATTCATCAGAAGGTCTCCCATTACCATGGCAACTGTACAGTTCCAGTACATGCAAGTCACAAGCACAGCACGGCCGCCTCTTAGGCCCCATTACATCAGGAAAAGGGGGTGACTCGTGTACCCTGAAACACAGAAGTCCAGGCCCTACTCCCTCTCTGAAGGCTGCTCTTCTGTCCCAGCTGCACGCTTTCTGTGTAAACACATCCTAACACCTTCACATGAGGCACCGCCTGGAAGGAAACACTATTCCATGACTCAGTTTGTGCCCTGTTAATGACACAGACAAGAGGAGACAAGGGGTTATGCACCCAGAAAGCATTCTCAGCCGCCAGGCCCAGTACCCGACTTGGTCACTCAAACCTACCAAAACCTAGTCAAGTCCTGGAGGTATGTCAGTCCAGGGCCACACACCCAGTGACGAGTGACGAGCCCTGCCTGTGACACATCATTCAAAACAAGGCCTGGTGAGCCACGTTAGTGGCTCTGCTCACATAAGCCCTGACCAGTTAGTCCCTCTGCCATCCTGCTAAGAGCAAGTAAGGGGGTAGGTTGTCACAGAGAAGCACCACAGCTGACCTGGCCTCCCCATGGCCCCCTGATAACCCTCGAGTTCTGAGACAGCACACTGTGAAGAAGAAAGAGTCGACTGAGGCCGCCAGCCGCAGCCCCTGCGCTACATCAGCTTCTGCTTCTACCCTGCTGCCTTGGAGACGTTACGCAGAGACAGGGAAGGGTGGCCAGCCCTTGGCTGGCACCAGCAAGTACTGAAATCAAATGTGTTTCCCAGACCTCTCATCTTGGAGCCAGAAGCCTGATGCAAGCCCATTTACTGATCTGCTCCTTCTTCTAACTGGTCAGGTTTTTTTGTTTGTTTGTTTGTTTGTTTGTTTCTGTGTTTGTTTGATTGATTGATTGTTTGTTTATTAACTCTGAGTGCCGATGTTGAAGAGAAAAGCATATCATGTGAGTCCTGGTGTCTACAAGTTCAGAGCACAATGACCAGCCACCTCAGAACACAATGTGCCAGATGCAGAGAGACCTGAATACCCCTCCCCCGCTGACCATAATGAGCAGAGGCCCGGAACTCACTGGCCTGGCCCCATGCCTCCCATTTCCGAAAGGAATGCCAGCATGTAGCCCCACGTGCTCTCCAACACAGGCCTGAGTTCTGATTATTGTAATTTCCTAAATGCTTAAATTATTTATTGGAAATAAGTAGCTCGGCCTCCTATGCTGAACTGTGTTCTAAAATTATAAAAATCCATCATTTCTCTGCAGGCTGCCTACAAATGAAAATGCATATTTCAACTATTTTAAGAAAAATGTCAAAAAAAGAAAAAAAGAAAGAAAAACATCAAGTGTGTCATGGTTGTACCATTTAAAATTATCCTCATGGCATCTGTGGAAAAAGAGCTGTATGTTGCGTGTGAATCCATCACAGTTCCGCCAAAGCTGCATCCAGCAGGTGCGAAGTCAAAGGTGCCTGTGCCCAGCACTGGCCGCCGCTGTTGAGCTTGCCCGGCCAGCTGTCTGGCACCTCTCATCCCCAGCTTCCCACCAGATTGCCCTGCTGCTCAAGGGACGCGGGTCCTCCAGGTCAACAGCTATCCCCGCAGAAAGATTTCACAGAACACGAGCGCCCCGAGGGCGGGTCTTTTGCACAAAGGTAAGGACTGACTGCAGCATAACCCGGTGTTATGGTCTGGGCTTGCAGTGTGCACGGCAAACTGGAGGGCCCAGGCCCCCGTGCCACCTGTAGGGCGGCCACCTCACTTCACAAACTGCACACCAAGAGAGCTCCTCCAGGAATTAAAAGTAACCACGCAGCCTGCACACCACCCATAATGGAAAAGGAAAACATGCGGTGTGCGTTAGTGGGTGGTGTCGCGCCTGAGCCTAGAGCCTCTACAATCAGATCACTGACTCTCTCTTCGAAGGGCGGGCCAGAGCCTGCTCTGCCCGCTGCGCTGTCACTGAAAACCGGACGCGCATGGGAGACTTCAGTCGTGGTCCAGTAGTTTCCCCGGAAACGCAGACGCCCCAAGAAGCGGTCCCACCCAGGTGGCGACTGTGTCCCAACGCAGAGAAATGCCACCCCCACGTCTGCCCTGCGACAGCGCGAGGTCTCCAGGGGCCCGGGTACCCGGCTGTCCCCGGGAGTCCCCAGTGGGCGGTTTCACCCACCGTCCTCCTTGTCGTCAAACACCGGCCTCCGCGCGCTGGCTGCCGATATGGACGACATAGACATCCTCTTCTTCCACTTGCTCCACTGAAACAGGGGGCGCGGCTGTGCGCGGGCATCGCCGGAGTCCCGGGCCCGGGGCTGGCTGGCTGCTGGCGGCGGCAGGGCGGGGGGCGCATCGGAGCCCGCGGGACGCGCGCGGCTCGGAGGCGGCGAGCCGGGGGGCGCCGCGGCGCTGCTGCCCCTGCGCTCTGCGCCGCTCCTCATCGCCAGGCCTGGGGATGCGCAGCGGCCGCAGCCCGGTACATGGCCCACCGCCTGGTCAGGCGAGAGCAGGAGCGCTAGGGGCCGGCAGGGCGGGCCGTGCTTCTAGTATCGGCTCTGGCTCTCCGGGGCAGGCGACCCGCCCGCGGATTGCGAGTGGCGAGGCGGGGCCAAAGGGGTGGACTCGGGGTGGAGTCCGGAACCGGGGCGGGGCCAGGGAGGGGCTGGTAATAGCTTCAGCGCACCGCGCAGCGTGGGCTATCCGCTGGGAAGAGTCGAAAACCCTTGCACCCAAAAGGCAGCAAGGATAAAAGCGTGAGTGGACAGATGCCAGTCTCCTTCCTTCTCTTTTGAAGCTCCCCGAAAGGCCAGGGACGGGAACTCTCCTTCACAGGGCGGCGGAGATCTTTGGGGACCCTGCCGGAATGCTGTGAGCAGCGAGCAATCGGGAATCCCTTGGACCTTCCACCCTCTGCAGACTCCGTAGAAAAAGTCGATTGTAGATTTCTGCCACTCGATCCTTAGAAACCGCAAACTTTAGGCCGCGGCTTTGCTCTGTAATGGGGTAATGGGGGTCGCAGGAAGTATATGCACTGCCCTACGGTGGAAGCAGGGTGCTATCCTTCTCTGAGGCCACAGGCGGCGCGGGATCCCGAAGCCTGGGGAGGGTGGGAGCAGGGCGGGGTCTGGCACGCAAGCTCCGCCCAGCGCGGTAAACCAGGACCCTGGCTGCGAGAGCGCGCCTACTTGCTTACTTACTGTGCTGAGTCCTAGTCTAGCTCCGTTAACCACTCATTGTACAGCTCACTGGGCACCGAATAGGGTCCTGAAATACAGGTTTGCGCCGTAGACCTGGCGAGGAGCACAGGTCATCTAGGCTCCTGTGTCCTCGCCAAGATTCCACCAGGGTCTTCTTTGCACATTGGGATGTCCGGAGCGCAGCTTATCCTCTCTGTCTCTGCTCTACTCCTTCACAGGGTCGGGATGCTTGGCGTCCAGCACCTAAGGCCTTGTTAGTAGGAACCTTTCTTTGGTTGCTCAGTGGTGTGACTTTTGGAAGTCTCTGCCTGCTTAGGTCCTGCCCTAAAACCTGGTCACAAAGACAGCTCTTCTCTCCACCATCTGGAAGTCCAGGAATGACCTTCTTTCTGTCCCTATTATGGGTGACTACAAGGCAGCATGTTCCTCCCTTACCATAATTTCTACAGCATCTGTCAGCCACCACAGCTTCATCCCTCCCTACCACCCTTGAAATTCACTAAGGCCCCCAACCTGCTTGGCTGGAAAGACCTAAGTATGGGTGACCTGAGTCTTTTCTAGGCCAACGTTTTAGGAGCTAGAACCCCACTGGTTTACATCCCGCCTCTGCTAAGTAGGAGGAGCTCTTTCTCCTTGGCCAAGACAACTGATGGAGCACACAGGGAGGACACAGAAGACAGAGCCCAAGGAAGGCATCAACTGTTTAGAGGTTTGGGGGGGGGAGGGGTTGCGGTGTAGCATGGCTGAAAGTCAGCCTATCTGCCACAGGTCTCCACAGAGTCTCAAGGTAAACTCTCCAGGGCAAAAACGGTGGGCTAAGTCCTGGCAGATGTCTTCCGTTTTCTGCCCTGCCTAGGCCTAAAGACACCTGCTGCGTATCTGCTCAGAGGAGGTCCTCAGCTTTCATGGTGTGGGAGGGAATAGAGGCCAACCCACCCACGCTGCACATCAGAATTCTCCAAGTGTCTTGATCAAGACCTTTGAAAATGGCAGGAGAAGAATAAAATGAAGTTATGTCTTCCCCACCCCCTCCACAAACAGCAGAGGGAACAGAAGGAAGAAGAGAGTTTATAAACAAAATAAAAATGGGAGAGGGTCTGGGAGGATAGCTTAGTCAGTAAAGCGCTTGCCTGCCACGTCTGTGTGAGTTCCATTCCCAGCGTGCGTATAAAAAGCTAGGCATGGCTACATGGGCCTGTGGTCTTATCGCAGGAAGGTAAGGACAGGAGGATCTCTGGGGCTTGCTGGCCAACCAGTCTACCTGAATGAGTGCGTCCCCAAATTAGTGAGATGCTGTGTCCCCAAAAACAAAGTAGAGTGAATTAGGAGAGGCAGTAATGTTGGTGTCTCTGACTGTTCAGGTATTATGGGTAATCTTGAATGTCAACTTGACTGAGTTGAGAAACACCTAAGAGGCTAGTAAAGTACACTCCGATGGTGCTTCCAGAGAGGATGGATATGTGGGGCCACAACTGAAGGGGAAAGGTCAACCCCTTATGTGGACCACATCAACCCATAGGATGGAGTCCTGGGTGGCATAAAGGGGAAGGAGGAGGAAGCTACCACACGGACACACTGTCTCTGCTCCCTGCTCACCCCACGATGAGCTGCTCTGCCTTGCCCTGTTCTAGTTTCATTCTGCTGTTGTGGTAAGAAACTCTAAAAGCAACTTAGGGGTGGAATGGGATTATTTCAGTTTACAAATCACAGTCCATCGTCCAGGGAATTCAGGGCAGGAACCTGAAGAAGCAGAAACCATAGAGGAATGATGCTTTGTGGCTCACTCACAGGCTTAGGCCTCCCAGGACCAACTACCCAGGGATGGCTCCGCCCACAGTGGGCGAGGCCCTCCTATATCAATTAACAAACAAGACAACCCTCTACAGACGTGCCAGCAAGCCAATTGGATCCAGGCAGTCCCTCAACTCAGACTCCCTTTCCAGCTAATTGTCGAGTTGAGACTTCAAGCTAGAACACCAGGCATCCGTCACAGAGACAAAGCATCTGACTGAAAACTGTGAGATCCCTGCTTCTAGCCATAGCTCAGGGTCCAGAGATTCACAGGTCAGGTAGTAAGAGCCAGGCTAATGAAGAGCTCAGAGCATGAACAGAGACAGGAACTGCTGTACCCTGATGCACGCTGCATCTAGCTCCCGCCAAGGAAGCTGGTGTCCGCGCCGACCAGGATTTAAAGAGGAGCTAGAAGGCTGGTAGAGGCTTCCCAAGCTCCCCAATATTTTCAAGAGTCTCAACGTAAACGCCAAGTCCCAAATCGTACCTGGGTATTTTCAGCTCCGGTGTGTCATCATCTAAATCAGGCACACAGCCCCTCCCCTCCCTCCATCCACACACATTTTCACTTTCAGCAGCTTCAGTCATCCTGGGTAAATTGCTGTCCAAAAAGAAAAAAAAAATGTTAGCTACAGAGGCTGAGAAGATAATTCAGTCAGTCATGTGCTCACAGTGAAACCTGAGGACCTAAGCTGGATCTCTAGTGCTCCTGTCAAAAGCTAGGTAGGATGTTGCATACTAGTAATACCAGCCCGGAGGAAGCGGGGACAGGCTCTGGCTCAGCAAGCCTGGCTCACTGAGTGGCCCCTCTCCACTACTAGACTCATAGTAGTGACACATGGTGTTTATGGTTAAGTAACCCTTACTTTACTTCACACTGGACCCAAAGAGTGACATTGACACCAGGGATTTGGGTATATGCCCAAGAGAAGGTATGACGTCCTTTCTGTAAGTAAAGGAGGAAGGTGCTCCACTTAAGGAAATAATCCTGTAATGAGATTGCTAAGATCGGTGGTAAGGATAAATCTTGCTTGTGAAACTATGAAGAAATATGTGCTGGTTTTGCTATCTCTTCAAACGGCTAAACTTACACACAGTGTGTGACAAGTACTTTGCCAAAATGGGAAAGCCAGTGTGTGTGTGTGTGTGTGTGTGTGTGTGTGTGTGTGTGTGTGTGTG